ATTTTTCTGTATTCTATGCAAAAATGAGTCATGACTTTCCTGATGATCAAATAATTATCATCACTTACAGATGAGGCAACTAAAGTTGAATAAAGAAAAAAAATAGCATCACTTAAAGAATTCAAGTGAGAGGTTTTTGCTATAGGGCACATTCGCTCGCCAGACAGAGAGAGACAGAGAGATAGAAAGCGAGAAAACACCCCCCAGTGGGGATGGTCACGCCGCAATCCCTTCTCCTACATTCTCCTCTTGGGATCTTGGGCACGCATGCACACACGCCCAGCATGAGTTTAAGCCACCGGGTCTGGGACTCGAACCGTGGTTGACTACGTGGGATTCCAGCGACATAGCCATTACGCTAACTGCTGGTCCCAAGAATTCAAGTTTAAGCTCTTGAAATTCTATGGTTTAGTCTCTGGACATAACAAATAAAATTTGTTTTCTAATTTATAAATTCAAGTAAAGTCTTAGGGTTTTAGAACATGGTTCAGAAATAACTTTGACAACCATTTCTTTAAGAAGCTTCATTTGAAGCAGATTTGATATTATCTGACAAAATATTTAGAAAGTGTTAACGTAAGAGCAATTCCCATAAAACTTCAAAAGTTGTCAACCCAATAGGTCTTTTGTACCTCCTGGTGACTCTAGGACTAAGGCAGATCATTGTAGCAACTCAAAATTATGCAACCACCTTCTAGAACAATGACAGCCATCCAGGAAGTCTTAGGATGAAGTACAAAGTGTTGTGGATCCTGAAATTAGGCCAGCTTTTGGCAATGTTTTGACTGACGTCAAAAAAAATGAAACCAGGAATACCTTATTTGTTATTACATTGCTTTGAAACCCGTTCTTCAAGAAAAAAGTTTTCATTCTCTAAGTCATTTCACACACACAAGCATCTCCCAAAGATGTTTTGCCTTTTGGCCGCCACTTCTAAACTCAGGTGTATCCCACACACTACCTCCTTCAGGAGTCAAATAATTAATGGAAGGGTTTATTTATTTATTTGTTTGTTTATTTGTTTATTTGTGGCAAGATGGTGTGTGAGCTCTCCAGAGAGGGAGGGAAAGCGAGGAGAAAGCACCTTCTGTGGAG